TATTTTTTTACAATACTCACTCATCATGACAGTAAAATAGGGCATTCTAAGTCAATATACTGCAGTATTTCCTCTCTCAATCAGTAGAAAATATGGTTAACACCCGGTCATGCATGAAAAAAAAAATACCGTCTTGTACCGTGAAACCGGTATAATTTTGAAAAATACCATGATATAAATTTTTGGTCATACCGCCCAGCACTATGACAGACCCATCAAAGTGTCCTCACCAGCCATCACTGTCAGCTGCATTCACATTAACACCAAAGTCCAGCAGGAACTTGACGATGTGGTGGTGTCCGGCACACACTGCGTTATGGAGGGGTGTGATGCCCTCATCATTAGGGGTGCTGGGATTGTCAACCTTTAAAATGAGAGGAATTAAATAAGAATTTGTTCAGTAAAAATGGGCAAAATAAAGCAGTGTGTAAAGTGTGTTCACATGACATACCTCATAGATTATCCTTTGTACATGGTCAAACTCGCCCTCCAGTGAGGCATCCAGCAACAGAGCGAGTGGGTTGAACTTCACTCTAAGGCCGTGACCCGTCCGCTCCGAGTCGGGTTTCTTTAGGTTCGTGCGTTTGCCCTGTTGAGGACATGGACCATTAGGCTTTGTTCACACAGCACAAAATCTGATTTGCTTTTCAAATCTGCTCTTTAGTACTGATCATCCTCCACACTGTTGGAACCAATATAATCTAAATTGTTTGTTCAGACACTGTTGTAGATATCTGGTGTATCTAACCTATATCAGCTACTAATGATGTAAACACATTAACAAGGCCTTATTGTACAACTTAATGTGGCTTTCTGATACAGCAAATGAGAGCAATTGTCATTGTGAGAGGAGATGGAAACTAGAAAGGCAAATGTGAACATAAGTGACATTTCATATATTTATACTGCTGTCGAAATGAGTGTATTTGGACATAGAACAATGTAGCACACTTACACCACGTTCAAAAGTGTGGGGTGAATTTTTTCATGTTTTTGAAAGAAGGCTTAACAGTAATAATGTGAATTATTACTACAAATTACAACATTTTTTTCTTTTTCAATCTCTTTTAAAATGTCATTTATTCCTGTGATGGCAAAGCTGAATTTTCAGCAGTCATTACTCCAGTCTTCAGTGTCACATGATCCTTCAGAAATCATTCTAATATGCTGATTTGCTGCTCAAGAATTGTTTATTATTATCGTTTCTTATAGTTTTGAAACTATAAGAAATGCTTAATTAATATTGAGTTAACCATGATACATTTTTTTTCAGGTTTTTTTGATGAATAGAACGTTTAAAAGAACAACATTTATTTGAAATAGAAATCTTTTGTAACATCTAAATGGGTTTAGAACTAAAAATGATTCATACACAAGGCTGAGTTTGTGTGAGGCTGTGTATAAGTAAACTGACCGTGGGCTGGGATGAGGGACAGGTGTCTGCTTCTTCAGGTGTGCTGGCCTCAGCTACAGGACTCGGCAAAATTGCTAATGTTTCTGCAGGATTATTGTTATTGTCTTCTGACGGTTCTGGTGCTGGAGGAGTCAGCGTCTCAGCCATTTGCTCTGGGGGCTCATTATCATTGGCATCACCTTGCGGGACAACATCCTCAGCAACAGCGCCCTCCGAGGGCACGATGGGTGTTTCTGAAAGTTGATTCCCATTGTCTGCATCAAAGAGCATTTCACCTGTGGTCGTGGAGGGCTGGTAGAATGGAGTCACTCCTCCACCACCACTCACATCGCCCATTCCTCCTTCCATCCCTCCAGCCAGGGTGTTGAACCGCTGATAGAGAAGTTTCTGGATGTTAGGCCCATTGGGACCCTCTGGTTCCGTAATCGAGCTGCGTTTCTTAAGCGGTCGTGGAGCATTGGCCAGTTTCTTGCGCAAGGCCTCCAGCTCAGCATCGCTCTGGTAGCGCATAGGGGAGTGCACCATGGGTGTGAGTTTAGTGGGGCTGAGAGGCCGCGGGATGTGGTCCACATTGGGTGGGGGTGGCTCAGGAAGACCCATAGAAATCTTTTGTAACATTATAAATGTCTTTACTGCCACTATTCCTCAGTTTAATGTATCCTAGCTGAATAAAAGTATTATTTTCTATTACTGACAACAAACTTTTGAACAGTAGTGTAGTATGTCTGTTACATTTGCGTTGTTACCCGAATGATGAGAAAACTACTAGATGTGACCAAAATAGGCATAAACAAAAAAATCTTAATTTAATCAGATACTTTCTCATTTGTAATGGGTTAGTAAATATTTTACTAATGGTTTTAAATGTAGTTTTTACACACACACACACACAATTAAAAATAACTAATGTAATAATTTAAGATTTGAGAGATAAGAAAAAGGTGGCATTCTGATTTCAATTTCAAGTCACCAAAATTAATTAAATAAATGGCCAGTTTCTTGCGCAAGGCCTCCAGCTCAGCATCGCTCTGGTAGCGCATAGGGGAGTGCACCATGGGTGTGAGTTTAGTGGGGCTGAGAGGTCGCGGGATGTGGTCCACATTGGGTGGGGGTGGCTCAGGAAGACCCATCATTTGACCATCAAAGTCCAGCTCAACATCCAACATGTCCCCTCCTGGACCCTGCAGGGCAGGAAAGGCCCCAGAGCCCCCAAAAAGTAAGGGAGAGGGGGGCGTAGAGCTGGGAGGCAGGACTGGCTTACCATATACTGGAGAGAAAAAGAACAACAAAATAGTCAATTACATTGCACTCACAAATAAAACTATAAACCACTTCATTCACATACTATAGTACATTCTATTGCATCTGTCTGTGCGGTTTTCAATCATTTTTGCTACAAGGGCATTGTTGACCGCTGCAATGTTTCTAGCTGTTTTTTCAATCTTTCTTGCTGTGAGTGGTGCATTTTTAAAGACGTTGTGTCAAGTTAAAATGCGCTGTGAGACACCAGCATTCTGCTCCATTCTGTCGCACTGCATCTAGCCTTTTTTAAAAACATTTTATTACTGCATAAATAATACTTTCTTAGAATCCCAAGAGCGACCTTTTACTTTATGCATATTTATTTATAGGTGCATCCAGACCTTTTCTCTAGTATAGTTTTCATGTGCGTTTATTTTTAATTTATAATTTTACAACAATTTTACACATTATTATAAACCGTTTTAAACACTTAAAATTGACGTCATTTGTTATCTACAGAGCTGTTTCTGGTTATGTTGAGGACTTTATCTGTTGAACTGCACAGTTATTTTCTTTTTTTGTTTCACAATTATATATTTGTAATTAATTTAATATTCTATAAATATAGAATTATATATTTTTAATTAATATTATATTTTAAAATAAAAATGTATATTAATTTACAAGTAAAGTAAATATAAAAATATATTTTTATTTTTATGTAAACATTTTAAATATAAATTATTATATAATGAAATTAAATATTTCAAAGAATATAAATTTTATTAATATAATATTTGGCAACACTTTAGATTAGGGAACAAATATTCACTAATTATTAAATATCAATTAAGTTTTCTTCATTAAACTCCTAATTTACTGCTTATTAATAGTTAGTAGCATAGTTGTTAAGTTTAGTTTTAAAGTTTTTGTTGGGGAAGATTTAAGGGATCTAGAATAAGGTCATACAGAATAAGGCATTAATATGAGTTTTATAAGTTCTTATAAACAGTCAGTATGCTAGTAATATGCATGCTAATAAGCAACTAGTTAATAGTGAGAATTGGTCTTTAAAATAAAGTGTTACCTAATATTTTTACTAAGCATCAAGTTAGAAGTCCCCCTTTATAATTTTACACTTAAGATCTGTATCAATACCCAATCCTGATGTGAACTCCCTGTAACAAAAGACTGAAGGTACTTTTAACTTCTTTTTAACCGAGCATATACTGTCAGGATAAGTAGAAATTTGAAGTTTAATATTAAATCATTTTCTGATGTGTACCTGCTTTGACTGCGGGCTTGATGTTCAGAGGGTAGTTCTTGGGGGCTGCTTGTTGTAAGTACATATGGTAGATGGAGCTTGAGTTCATAGTGGCTGGGCCTTTTCTGGGTGACTGCGGTCTGGAGCCCTTATCTGGGATAAACGGCCTTACCGCTACAGCCAGAGGAGGGTCTGGCCTCTCACTGGGGGGGAAAAAGGGTGGACTGGGCTGGAAGGTGGGACTGGGGGGCACAGAAATGCGCTGCTGGATCTGCTGAGAGGAAGAGCCGGTGGGTGCAGGGGGAACACGGGGCCAGGCCGGCTGCGGCGGTGGGTTGGTGGGTAGGCTGGGCACCGGTCTGAGAGGAACATCCTTGCGTCGGTCTAAAGAGCTGGTGGAACAGTACTTGAAAGCCGACGGGTTTCTGTGCTCACACCGAAAGTGCGCTCACAGAACGCACCTCCCAGTCAGTGTGCGAATGCAGAGTTCTCTTTCGCTTAAGTTCTCTTAAGTTCTGTTATTGCTACACACTTACACTAAAAGTTATGTCAAAATGCAAACTGGAGAAATGGCTGCTGAAATTTCAGCTTTGCCATCACAGAAATAATTACATGTTAAAATATATTTAAATATTCTTGTCACGGACTTGGATGCATTTTTACTCTGACTTGACTCGGACTCGAGCCTTTTGGACTCGGAAAATATGTCCAAGTCCAGGGACATTTGACAGAAATGTCACTGATTCAATGCATTATCACAAAAGTGATATTCAGTATTTTGCATGTGTTTTTAAGTCTTGTCCAGTACTTGAAAGCCGACGGGTTTCTGTGCTCACACCGAAAGTGCGCTCACAGAACGCACCTCCCAGTCAGTGTGCGAATGCAGAGTTCTCTTTCGCTTAAGTTCTCTTAAGTTCTGTTATTGCTACACACTTACACTAAAAGTTATGTCAAAATGCCCATCTTATATAAAGCTTGTTTTTTATTGCGATAAAAGGTGCATTTTCTGATCTTAAGGTCCCATTCACCAAGATACCTACTCCTTTGCCCCCACCCTTGAATTTATACATTTACTTTAACTATGAATAAAGTCAAGTCTTGCCCTTTAATTTTTCACATTCTCAAAACCTGTTTCACTCTAAAATATGTCACAATACATAAATCAATTCAGCCATAACTTCTGTTACATGACTTTTCTAAGCAAAGCAGAACACTAATTATTACTCAGAAATGCGCTGCTGGATCTGCTGAGAGGAAGAGCCGGTGGGTGCAGGGGGAACACGGGGCCAGGCCGGCTGCGGCGGTGGGTTGGTGGGTAGGCTGGGCACCGGTCTGAGAGGAACATCCTTGCGTCGGTCTAAAGAGCTGGTGGAACCCGAGTTGGCAGATGAGAGGGGGTGGTTGCTGGTATGGGCTCCGTATGGGGGAGGCTGGGGCTTATTGAGAGGAGGAGCTGAGCCCATTTGACTGGAATCCTGAATTTAAAACAGACAGTAAAATCACGGTAAAATTATAAGACAGCAATTTATTTGTGTGCGTGGGTCTAAGTTAGACTTATAGACTTATGGGTCTAAGTTAGACTAAGTTACCTTATCTCCAGGAGTGCCTGCAGGTGATGCTGTTTTAATGGTCGTGTCTGTTCCAGACTCCTTCCAGTCAGGTGCTTTGACTGATGTGTTGCTCTTGTTGAGGGTGGGCCAACCGGCATCATTTGCTGAAAATGGAAAGAAAGGAAGCATTAATACAAGATCAGACATGACAGAACCCCTCACAAGCACATTTATTATTAGAACAGTGACGAACTGCACTGCTAATATACTAGACATGACTTCTAAAGATGTCTAGGTATGTTCTTGAGTTAGGAGACATGAAGTATAACAGTCTTGCATATGAAAAACAAGTTGGTCTGGAATAGAAATGAGAGGGGCTCCTCACATCTACAAGAACAGCTCGGATGACTTCTATATTTTACTTTAATTGTAAGCTCAGTCAACTGCATGGTATCTTGACTTCAACAGAGCTTCAAAGTCAGTCCATATGAAACTCAAGCCAAACAGAGAAAGACTAATTAAAGCAAACTGACTGAGCCACCACTCTACTTAACTTCTCTGTCTATTATGTGTGTGTGTATTTTGTGTTAAGTCAACAAGTTAGCTGAATGTTAGAGAATGATGAAATGGAGCCAGTAATTTAGTGAGTTTAAATGTACAGAGGAAGAGGTAGAGAGCCCAGTGAACCTTATCAGGGTAGAGTTTCTCATCCCAGCATACACATTCACTCTCACTCATGAGACCTCGCACAATCTACCTCATTACATTCTTACACACACAATCATATACACACATACTCCCAAAAGACAGGATCAGCAGCTTTTGACTCGTATTGAATTGCAGTAAAGAGCAAATAAACAAGGGTGAATGTAATTGACCAGACAGAGAGATCTAGTATATCATTAAGGTTCCGTTGCTCATGAAAAACGTGTCATTTTGACTTCTGCCTTAAGCCATGTTTTGACTGGAAAACTGCCACTCTGCAATTTTTTAAAAGTGGATAGGAACTTTAACAGAATTACTCCTACTGCTTAGTTAAAGTTAGTTAAATAATCTCTGTAAGAGACCCACAACAATATTCAGTTTGCTTAGAACAAGATACATTCGAGACCAAAGTCTGAGATCAGTGGAAAATTTTATTATTTGGAAATTTTAGTTTAATAAATTTTTCATTAGGAATTACTACCTTTCAAAGATTTTTTTAAAGAAATCAATATATTCATTCAACAAGCACATATTAAATTGAAAAGGTAAAAGTAAAGACTTTTACAATGTTACAAAATATTTCCATTTCAGATAAATGCTGCTCTTTTGAATATTAAATTAATTAATGAAACCTGAAAAAAGTATTATGGTTTCCACAAAAAAATGTGGTATAAAACAGTTAATAATAATAATAATAATAATGTTTCTTAGCACCAAATCAGCATATCAGAATGATTTATGAAGGATCATGTGACACTGAAAACACTGAAAATGGCTGCTGAAATTTCAGCTTTGCCATCACAGAAATAATTACATGTTAAAATATATTTAAATATTCTTGTCACGGACTTGGATGCATTTTTACTCTGACTTGACTCGGACTCGAGCCTTTTGGACTCGGAAAATATGTCCAAGTCCAGGGACATTTGACAGAAATGTCACTGATTCAATGCATTATCACAAAAGTGATATTCAGTATTTTGCATGTGTTTTTAAGTCTTGTCCAGTACTTGAAAGCCGACGGGTTTCTGTGCTCACACCGAAAGTGCGCTCACAGAACGCACCTCCCAGTCAGTGTGCGAATGCAGAGTTCTCTTTCGCTTAAGTTCTCTTAAGTTCTGTTATTGCTACACACTTACACTAAAAGTTATGTCAAAATGCCCATCTTGGAGACTATTCATGTAAATGCAGTCGGTTTTGTCTTAAGTGAACTTGAACAGTTGGGAGAAATACAGATGTGTCAAAATATTTGATCTATGCCTCAGATCTTAAAGCAACAGCGTAACCTGCAGCCGCCGACTGCATCATAAATGTTAATCAAACAAAAGAAAAGGAGAAAACCACTCACTGCTCTTGACTGAATAACTTAATAACTTTAATAAGAATCATCTATATTTAATGTATACAGTGAATATTATTTTTACATTTATTACTTCATGAAATGTCTGTAGTAGGCTATTTCTAGAAGCCTTTACTAGGCTACTATCTAAAAAACTAAAAAAAAAACTATATAATTTGTATTTTTGAGTAATATATTTATTTATCATTTAGCTTGTAAGTAATACTTGGGAGTGTTTACTTGCTTTCAGTAAGCTTGAGAATGTTTTATTACATTAGTTTATTATTTTTTGCTTTTGTATTAGTGGCAGTTTCTAGCTTCAAAGAAAAATAATTTTTCTAACATATTTGCGACAATAGTTTTTATGGGTCCAAAATCACCTTGGGTGTGCATTATTTTCTAATAATTTAATGGCCCGTCATCAATTATTCCTTACATAATGTAATTTATTGCAATTAATGTAACTATAAATGCATTCAAAAATAAAACAGGTGTGAATTGGCTGTGACTTATGGAAAGTATATGTAGGGATTTTATACACAGTGTGTGCTATTGTACAGACTAGGTTTATCCCTCAGTCTCATTTTCATCCAAGAAAAAAAATCTAAATGCCCTGTCTAAGGGGTCCGTATACTTTGGCGTCCATTCATTTTTCTTTTTTTTTTTTTTTAACACAGAAATTAAAATGCAGTTTCTTCTTTAATGGTTCAAACACTGATGAATAGAATAAGAAGACATAAACTAATTTTGATTATTCAAAATTCATATTTCATAAAAAATCGTAAAAATTATATAAAGCTTGTTTTTTATTGAGATAAAAAGGTTTGCTTTTGTTACATTTAAATGGACATTGCGTTTTTGTATTTGTAAACATTAGGTGGACTCGAACCAAACACTATACAATATTACTGGTTTTGTTGTATTTTTGATTAAATAAATGCAGCATGGTGAGCATAAAAAAAAAAATCTTACCAACCCAAACTTCTGAACGGTAGTGCATATTATCAGCATAACAATGGAGTAAAACATTTAAATGAAAAAAAAACATGAATTTCAAAATGTCTTAGTATTTGGTTTGTCCTTCTTTTGCTTTAATGACAGCACCAATCAAGCTGTGTGAACTCCACCATTTTCTGTTAAACCTGATAATCATGTTCTCCAGCATGATTTGAGATGATCTAAGGAGCATTCTGAACTTCAATGGAAGCAAGAGTCATATGGGTGACAGTAACAAGCCACACTAAAGCCTGTGTTATACTTTCCGCATCCGCGAGTCCGCTAGGGTCCGCTATGGTATGCGTGACGTAAAAATCGTCATCGGAGAGTGTGCGCGGAGGCTCTGAGCGGACATCCGCGTGCCTCCCATTTTTTGCAGTAGGCTACTGCGCATGCGCAGGCTGTGTGAAGAAGCCCGTTGCTACTCGAACCTGTACAATCTGTCGATAAAACAATATAAAGACAGCCAGATGTGCAATAACTCTGGCCAATTCTTTGTTCACATGTTTGTTTATTGTTCAAGCCGATCTACTACACATGTATGGATCACGTCCGCGGAGCGGACCATCAGCGTATGCTTTCGGAAGTATAAATACAAGTAGTCCGTGTCCGCGCCGTCCGTGTACGCGTCCGGATTGCTCACGCGGAAAGTATAACACAGGCTTAAGACTGCTTTGATCCTGCTCAATACACTGAATAAGGTTCATAGGCCGTTCCTCCTGCCGTCTATCAGACACCTTCCCACTCACGAGAAGCGCCGTCCGACCCTGCCGCAGAGCCGGTGACTGGGGGTGGAGCCCCAGGGCCTGGGCAGGGCTCTGGAGGGGGTGGAGCAATCGGGTCCACTATGATGTCTAAATCAGAGACCTTCCAGGGGCCAGGAGGCTTTCTCACTCCATCTAATCCCCCCCACAAATCCCACAACATCAAAGTACAGGGACAGGAAAGAGAAAAGAGAGACACACACATACACGTATGCACAGCACAGAGCAGAAACGACACAAGAGGTTAGAAGTGAAGAAAATGAGAAATCAACTTCATAAACAAACAGCAACTGAAGAGAGGGAACTCACAGCAGGAAGTGATAGGATACATGCTGTGGTCTTTAAAAGTACCAAACCACTTTATTTACATTTATGCATTCAGCAGATGCTTTTTTTCCTACGTGACTTTCTTTCTAGGTATATATTTAATTAGCTTATGAATTCCTTGGGAATCGAATCCATGACCCTGGAGTTGTTAGCAACATTCTCTACTGTTTGAGCAATAGGAATGCTGTAGCACGCAATCGAACACCATTGTAGGAGCTAGTCTCAGTCTTATTAAGCCCAAATTATACTTCGGTTTTAACTCATACACTAGGTAGCGTGCATGACATAAATTTCATCATCAGCATAGTATGTATGTGCATACTTCCAACCACACTTTTTTAGTTGGTCCACAAGGTGGCAACACTAGCCCTGGCCATTGTTTCACAGTCAAAACAGAAATGAAGGAGTCAGGACAACAACAAACTACTTGAGACTGCAACAACAACAACAGATGCCTGTGTTAATGAACGCTTGTCTGAGGGGGCTAAGAGAGACCTGCAATTTTAGTTTAACAGAGTACAAAGACATTTTATCAGTCGTAACTCCTAGAGAGAAACAGGGCAGACAAAGGACAAAGATGAAATTTTCTAGTATGTATGCGTCAAGTGCCTATGTTCATGCAAGGATACTAAACGCAGTATATGCCGTTTAGATTTACGCATACACTAAGTGTTCATGTCAAAACTTAAGTATACTTTGGGCTTTAGACACAAATCACACTTTCAAACTGATTTACTGCCTGGCTGCTACACAGTCCATCACAAAAGTCATGCTGACATGAGACCAGTGGATGGAAATTTTTTTTTTGAGGAATAACTAGTTACTGGATTTGTCAGAGTTCAAAAGATCATCAGATCCTTCAAAAAAATGTTTTGTTTGAGGCAAGTTATGGCAAGCATAACTATTGTTTTATAAGTTGTGTCTGTCAAATAACTGGTGCTTGTTACTTTTGGGTGATCAAATGCTCTAAGAGATTGTTGCAGCATTATTTGAATACACTTCATTGCTTGCTGGTCTATTAACATAATCAATTGAACAAACATCAAGTGAGAACAAAATAAAATGTGGTTGTTTACTTTAAATGGCTAAGTGTGCATTCTTTGCAGGAATCAGTTGACTTGGCTGATAAGTCTGGATGTGCAAGACTAAATGTAGACCTAAGTACAGACTGATCAAAACTGATCAAAGCAGTGATAATTGCGGATAAAGTGTTAATATACTCCTAATTTTCTATGCTGATTCACAATGTAGGATTCAAATACATAGACAAAAAGGGTACCATTTATTTGGCACCATCTCATTCCAAATAAATGTACGACGTTATCATGTAGACGTCAGTGTTTATGGACTGACCTGATTTGGAGCAGGCATGGTTGGCTGGGGTGTTAACACCCAGTGACTGAGGTTTGAGAGGTTCAGGGGGCACTACATAACTCTCCTGCCTGCCTGGCACCGGGACCTGGATGTAGGGTCCCACAGCAGCCACACGGCCGGTGTTTCCGGGAGCCGGCTGGGGAGAGGGAGGACCGTTTACTCTATTCAGCTGCAGGAAGGGGGAAAAGGAAAAAAGGGCAAAAAAGAAAACAAAAGAAAAAAGGAAATTAGCTTAGTTTAAATTTAAAATATTTCACAAGCTCCAGGTTTGGTCTCTAGATGTCTGGTTTCTGAACAAGATTCTAAACAAATTAAACTAGGAAGCATGAGTGAGTGATGCAAACTCCTGGCCTTACGGGAAGGTTTTCTTTTTGACGTGCCTCAGCTTTTCTCTTGTATAGTTGATCTCTGAGCTCATTGATACGCTTGTCCATCAGTGTCACCTCCACGTTTCTCTTATTCAACAGCTCTTTCTGCTGCTGAAGTTTACTGTTCTGCTCCTGATTCAGCTTATTGCGTATCTGATTGGGAAAAAAACAGCAAAGTAATGATCAATATTCTAACTGACAGAAATGACAGGCACATACTAGTAACACAGACATACACAGAATAATAAACAATCAATATCTATGGATATAGCTGACTCCATGTTTCTATACCACAAACATCATAAGTTTTTAACAGCCAAAAAAATTTTTCTGGTGTCATTTATACATTTCACAACCTACTTTTGGAAAGCGTCCTATATCAAAACCAGCAAAATTTTGTTGCAATATACAACATACTAAAAAAACTGCATTATTAAAAGTGGTCAAGGTTCTTTTAATATTTTATGGTGAAAAATCACCACAACAAATCTCTTGTATGAAAATAAACTCTTGAGTTGAGTGTGTGGTCATACCTGCAGCTCCTGGTACAGTTTGCGGAGCTCCAGGGCAGCGGTGCCAGTGACCTGACCTCCGAGGGTCTGCAGGCCATTTAGTTTGCCTCTCCTCAGGTCCTCCAGCTGCTGGCTGAGCTGATCCACCCTCAAGACGGCTGCCTGCAGCTCTGCCTGCTTGTCCTGGAACATCCCGCTGATGTGCTCGATCTCTGCGGCTAACAGACCACAGCTGAGTTATACACACGCAAACTTGCGTGCAAACACAGGCATACATGAGCCGACATACTTTCTCTATTACTATAGGATTATTATTTAATGTTCAATGAAAATGTAATGTGTGGCTGCACATGTTGTACAGGAGCTCTTGCATAATGCAAAACTAGCAGGCTGAACAGATATATTCTATACAGTAAAATTGACTTTTATTGCTTTCACCATTTGTCAACAACATAATACAGCCTAAATGCTGGCACAACATGAATAAAGCACCCAGCTGTGGGTTAAAACTGAAAAAATTAGAAAATCTTAACCATTCTGCAATAAAGTACTGATTACAATCCACAAAAATCTAATTTTAAACACAGCCCTTAAAAGACTCATCTCCAGCGAAGTGGACAATCCCATCTGGAGTTGCGTGTGTGGGAGTATTTGGCATTATGTGAGATCATTACAATTCACAAACTAGCAAAGACCTAATCCTGACCTTATGGCATGTGTTTTTATGTGTGCATGTGATCGCACTTGCAGTTGTAAGCTTACTGCTCTCTCACATGCAAACGCTTACATGAAGAAATCTGGCTTTATACAGCCACGCAAAATAGCCACATCACAATCGCTAGCAGCATTTCTACTCGGATGATTGCTGAAGTCAGGTTGCCATATGGAGACATACACAGGTTGCCATTGATGACTTTGCTGTAGTCCACTTGGCCCCTCATGGCACGGATCTTCTTGAGTTTGGCTTCCTGACTCTCCACCCTCTCCTTTAACCTCTGTAGTTTCTCGGTCTCAGACACAGTCTGCTGCTGCCGTCGCTCCTGCTGCTTCAAATAGCGCAACCGTTGCTCCTACGGACAGAATACATAAAGAACATGAGCATACAAAAAATAAATGTAAATAAAACATTGCCAGGGACATTTAAACAATCTACAGTATCTCTTTATTTTACACCTCCGTGATGTGTTTTCTTCATTAAATGCAAAAACTACATATATTGTGTCCATCACACATTTTTCCTTTTGTTTTTTCCTTTGTCAGTATTTATGATATGTTGATTGCCGCCGCTGCAGCAGGTTTTGAAGAGCTGATCAGACAGTGTGAAATATCTGACACGGTTCCATTACTCAGCGTAATTTATGGACTCAAAGTTTGGAGAAACAAACTACATGGTAGTGTTATCATAAATATCTATATTTTGATACCGATATATACTGAAATATCTGACACGGTTCTATTACTCATTTTCCACAGTATACACCGATACAAGCTGCGTCTCGCTCTTTCCTCTCCGACAGTGAGTTTGACACGCATCCTGTCAATTACAGTCTGAAAGTCCGCACGAGATTGCAGGTATTCCGCATAATTTTAATCATTCCCGCGCAAATGTGGCGGGTGCTTTATTGTAACATATGAACACAGTCATGTAATTGCAGAAAACTGGACGTGAGCTCTCAAATAGGCCTAACTTATACAATTGAACTGCCTGTCCTCTCACTCCGATATTGCTTGTGAGCAGACTGTGCAATCACGATCTCTCCGTGCTTCAAGTAGAAATTATTTCTCTTTGCTCCTGGATTAAACGTTGTCAAAATTTATCAACCATTAATTACTTTTTGTAGGATATATGGTCTTGTATACCGTCATTCTCCTTTTTTGTCATATTTTTGTGCTTCATTTTACTCATTGCACAGATTGTTGTTATATGAAGGGTCTGTTTGTCTGTTGTTGTTTGTTCTTCATGTCTGCAAAACCACAATACAAATAATAATTAAAAAAAAAAAAAAAAAAAAAGTTATAAACCAT